CCTGGCGCTTTGGCAGTTGCGCCATTTTGCAACCAAACTGCCTTCGTGATTCTCTTGCAAAGTTCCCCGTACACGCCCAGTTCACTCTGGGCCCTGGTGGATCTACATTTTTGGGCTGCTGGCTACTCCATGCCCTGCTTCTTGAACTGAAGTACCGTTATGACAGAGAGTTAGAGGCAGTTGAAAGGTATGCTTGGCTTAATATATACCGGCATTTATGTCCCCCCTCCCTTCCTTCGGCATTGTCCCTAATTTACTACTAACTTTTGCATCGGTCCCAATATGTAAGGTATTCGGAGGAGTGACGTGGCCAGCACTCACAGACAATTTAGCCAAGCAGCCACAGTTGTACTTGATCCCTGCGATGGCCACAGGTAATCTTAGAGATCTGTTTCTCAGTCGAGGTAACTGTGATTTGTACGTAAGAATAGCTGGTCAGGTTCTGTCATTCACTTTGTGTAGCCATGCAGGTTTTCCTTTGCGTTCGGTCTACACATGTCTCGATTTTAAGAAGTGCATTCCAGTCTTTCGTGTGATGCATTCATAAGTATTCGGCTTTTAACGGCCGCCCGGATTGTTGGTTTAGGGTTATCTCACGTAGCGATTTGACTTCTTGAAATATAACGGCTAGGCAGTGATAAGATCAGGACTTACATCATGGTGCTTCATAGTCGCTCTATCACAGCAATGTCATCGCACTATGCGACGTTTTCTAGGACAGTTCCTTGTCACATTTTGCTCCTCAAAGTCCTCGTAGCACTGCTACTCCCAGTCTTATTCCCCAGACGTAAAAGCCTGTTAATTCCACAACTAATATTCGCTAGTAGATCACAGTAAAATTTTCTGCGGCATTGTCGCGGTCTTTTAGATCAGAGCGCTATCATAGCCCTTCATAACCCCATCTGTTATCCGTCAGCGTACCGTTTGCCGGGGCTTTTTCTGTATTCCGAGACGAACAAAACTTCCTTCCACAGTTTGCTTAAGCGTTTGATGTGTCCACCCTTTTTTATCTTTGCTCCTATCATTCCATTGATGAGATGTGCATCTTTTATCATTAAGATCCGCTCTGCGCAAAATTCTTGAAACTGACGATACGCCTGCTAAAAGGATGGTCCTGTGTGTCAGCCATCTGCAACCCCTCCAAAATGCAATGTACCGGGTAAGATTCCTTTGTGGACACTACTTACTTCCGCAGTCAACCCCACTCCGGCTCCGTTCATCGAATCTCGTTTTATAACCAAATGGCTTCTTATGTGTCACATTCTCTTCCTTTTAGTGTTATAGGCACAATATTGCTTGATTTCTCTATTTCTTCCAGGCACCTTTGCGCCGTATGTTGGGAAGATATGGCCTCCAACTCATTGTACGAAAAAACGGCCGTCATTATTAGTTATTTAGAGTTTATTTAAGGGTATCGATAGGTAGTGTACAGGGCTGCGGTCAAAATCTTCCTGCTGTAAGCCTATGAAACTTGGCCTCTGCGTGTTGCTGAATCAGCGTTTGTCTGGATGCTTGTTGACTAGCGCCTCCGGAGAATACTGCGGTCTCAGGTCAGCCGGTCTCGAATGAATACTGCTGATCGGGGCAGCTGCATATGGTAGTGAAACAAAACACCATCCCCTGCCCCGAAGGTTAGACCGTCCACAATTTCTCTTTGGGTCATCGGCTGAATTGACGTCGTCGCTTTGCTCATCAAGCAAAAAGCGTCAACAAACGTGGTTAAGCCGCACACGGCGAGGGTGTTGGCCCAGTGGTCTCCGGTACTTGGCAAGTAATTTTCAGCAAAATAACGAGTCCTGATGGCCTAACCGGCGGTCTCAGGGCTTGAACTGCACTGGTTCTTAGCGCCACCAGCCTTAAATCCAGCCAACTATGCACGGGTTCCAGTTAGTACATGTACAAATACTACCTTGGTGATGCTTACATAACTGATTTTGCAGGTGTTAGTGGAGGTTCTGGTAGTTTTTATAGGGTAGTGACGTTTGCGGTGGCAGGAATCTAGCGTTGAGTGTTTCCAACGGTCGCAGTATTCGTATGGTTCGTGTTAGATGACTGTTCTGTTAATTACGATTTTTGTTGTTCAATATTATGTTACTTAACTGAGCTTATTGACAATCTTAAAAAATTATTTCATTTTTTGAATTATTTCAAATCAAAAAGCGCTCCCCAGAATATATACTGTCGGTTACTAGACATGTTTAACGTTTCGGTGCCCGCCTGCATGAGAGTGCTGTAAGTTTCGTATTAACTGAAAAGCAGGCATCCTAAAAAATGTAATTTCAAAGAAAGGCGTCCTTAGGGAAAATAAGTAAAGTTGTCCAGTAAATTTTCGACATTGGATTCCCAGTGCTGTAAGTATTCTTTTCAACACTTCCTGTTTTAAGGGGAAATTTTCTCCCTAGTAGTCGACAGGAAGTTATATTTCTCATTGGAGCTATACTTATGTCCATATACTGCATGTGGGCCACATAAGCTTGGTCTATGTATACTAAGTGCTTGCTTTGTGGTATTCTCAAAAGCTCTCTGAAGAACTGTACCATCATCCACTGGTTCTTAGAACCTTTGAGACTTGGCCAGAAGACGAGGCGTGGGTTAGTTTAAACGAAAGCCCAAAACAACATCCATCTAGCAGTTGCATTAGAGAATCTTTTTCCCGGGTTTGTGACTGAAAATTAGCATTGTGCCGAAAAAAATACCCTCTTCGGAGTACAACAGTATTTAAAACTCGAATACTAGCCAAATTCTTAGATTTAGGTTTTCTGAAGAATTGTCTGCCTGATGGAGGTGTAAGGAGTTGTTATTATCAGTGGGTTTCCCTGGCGGTTTCTGACACAACTCCGATTTGCTCCACCATTTAGAACAAGATTATGATTTTCACTATGGTGAAAGTGCTCGGTCTCAGGAGAGCATTGCCAGCCCTGTATTTATAAATCTTTTGCTCTCCTGTCTGAAAGCAAGATTCCTCAGAGTTATGTGAATGTTATGACTAGTTTCAGGCATGCCAGTCTATCATTTATGCAATTTTTCCTTCTCTCGTGCAGCTTCTTGAACTCAGGTCTCCACACTTTTAAAGGCAGATGACTTTTTTTCCCCAGATCGGATTTTTCCTCTGTTGTGCCTAGCTGGTCAATGGCCATAACTCGTGAGATTGATCTGCGGTTCGCTGGCCTTATTATGCATATGTTACCTATTTTATCAAAACTTTTTCTTGAGCCTTGCACGCTTTTTGTATTTTCATATGTAGAAGCTGATTCCTCGGTCACATACTGGAATTTTTTTTTATCTCGTCCCCTGTATTATCTGAATTCACATTTTAGGGCCGTCTGACAGATGGCTGGTACCACATGGACTGGCTTCCCGATAAAGTTCTGGCCCAACTAATCTCACGCGGTAAAATTCGCGTTGGCACAAAACTTGTCTGCGCTGGCGCCGAGGCAGTACAACGACCTGTCGGGTTTGACCCCCCAGAGGGTGCTACCGCAGAAGTGGACAAGGACGCTGACAGTCATCTATTTGGTCCTTCGAGTGGTCTCGTTTTACGACTGGGTGCTAACTCGACCCGAATTGCACACCCTACTGCACGTCTTGGTTATGCTTCATCTTCCGGCCACATGACTAGCCTTTGTCCGATCCCTTTATCGTCACTATACGCTGATGGTGGTCCCGTTAGTTCCATCCTCGTTCTTGTTCAAGTAAGTAAATTAAACCAATTATGTTACCGCTACTTATTCATAAAAAAGTAGCGTGCGTATTGACCTATATATGAGGCCAGAGTGGGTTAACGTCATCTCTTATTTGACGCTCTTTCCTCGCTAGCGTCGTTTTCAGCTCCAGTTCATGGAAACCCGCTCTGAGGACTCGGATGGTGAGCGGAAGCAACGTATCTTCCGTGATCCTCGGTCTGAAGAGGCCGCCGCCCGTGAACACGAAAAAAACTGCCAGTTGGCCTTCGATAAAGCTGCTGGAGACTTCTCCTCGCCCAAACGTATGCACTGAATTGACTGTTTTCCTTGATACCGCTTCAAATTTTCCGTATTAACCGAATGCGAATGGCTTTCATAAGAACATGCAGACCGAACAGCGTATCTGGAAACCAAGGAGACTTTCAAATATAAAAGATCGAGAAACCCAAGGTTAAGGTTATGCGTTTTACTGTTAAAAGCCTCTTGGTAGAATATCTTACGGTTCTTTTTTTCGATTGTCTCTTCCATTGGAAAAAAGTTCCCACCATCACATTCTGTCTAAGCTTCGTTAACACAAGTTGGCAATTTGCTGACCGCCCATGTATTTTCCTGCCTTTTTCGAAATAGTCTTTTCTGGATTTCAGTGACGCATAGGTGCAGCACTTTCTTGCCTGTGCCTCTGCCTTATCACCACCAATATTTACAATTTCTGAGCTTTTGTTAAACAACTTCCAAATTATCCATTGCGGTTGGCTCACTTTGGAATACTTCCTGTAGGGCAGGAGGTTTGTTTAACATTTCCTTTCGATCTTCGTAGGCGGTCCACAAACTATAGCAAACTCTCGTTGACGAACGTTCACCCGACCGCTAACGAAACTCATCTGTACCGCCCTGCCTTTGGCCCTGCCAAAGGTCCTGACAGCCGTAACAGCTGGTAGTATAGGCAGATAGTATATCTGGCAAAGACAGGGGAGACTGGAATGGTCATTTCTGGCTTATTAGCTGTTGTCAGCCCGTAATACCCAGAGTGTGAGTGTCAATATCCCTCGACAAAACCCGGCAAGACAGCGAGCTCGTGACTCCATGGTTAGGGTGTTTGATTCTGATCACAGAGGTCGTGATTTCAAGACTCGGGTGGGATGCCATTTGGGTCTAGGTATGACTGACTGACGACGGCTAATAAACCAGAAATGGCCATTCCAGTCTCCCCTGTCTTCGCCGGTAATTATATCTACCTATAGCAAACTCTATCAACATTGCCGGTCTACAGCCACTTTTTCTATACGTTTCCCTTCGGTCGCGCGCCGCATCTTTCCTCTCTGCCCTCTCTCTCTCTCTCTCTAAGGGTCCGTTAGACAATCTGACAGCC